AATGGTGAAAATGTGTGATTTTGATGCATTTTCGGCCTTAAAATGGCCGCTATTCGGCTATCGTTAATCGGATCATGAAAAAAATGCATGTGCATATGTCCCATATAATGTGTGATGTATGAGTGAAGTTTGAACTAAATCGGTCCATGCATGTTCGAGATACAGGTGATCACGGATGCATGCACGGACGCACACAGGGCAAAACATAAGTCCCCGTTTTCGGACTACGTTCGAACGGGGACTAATAAAGTCCTTAGTTTGGGCTTTTTTTTATTTATTTTAATGTGTTTCTCAAATTTGACTTTTACATTAATTTATTATTTATTTGCAGTTAGTTTTTTAAAGTCAATATTATTTATGAAGATCAACGGTAACAGCAGATACAGTTATTAATTAAAGCCGCAAGAGGCATCAGCGGGGAAAAGCTAACAGGCTTCTGTTACACAATTAGTGACATCACTGGATTGCCATTAAGGTAGTTTCAATGATATGTACTATGAGTTTGAAATGCAGCGGGTTCCATGTATTCACCTGGTTCGGTTATCGAGATATGTTTTCTTGAATATATGTGCTTATGCATATTAATGAGATTACATAATCATTTATGACAATCTTTTATGTTAGTTACATCGTTTGTTTTATGTCTTCTTTATGACACTGTTTGCATTCAGATATGACAGTATTTTTCTATATTCTGAAAGAGTTCAACATAAATAGCAATTCAAAAGATAATCACATAATTGTAGAATAAGTAAAAAAAACTACTTCCTGTTTAGAAGAAAACCAAAATGGCAGCCTGACCATGTGACCAATCATGATCAATTTCTCAAACTTGAATTTATGTCATATATAGATGACAAAAATATGTGAGAGCATTTTGTCTAGCAGTACTGAAGAATATTTAAAAGTGTTTTTTACTGTTTTTAGGAGGAAAAAACATGACGGAAAAAGTCACGTGGTCGCTAAAGTTTTTATTGTTTAAATCTATTAGCATAAAAAAATCTAGACGCCTAGACCCTCAGAAAGTGGTCAAACAGCCACTTCTGGTTTTATTTCAACCCAATATGGCTGTCGAACCAATTGACCAATCAAAATTCTGAAAGTCAGGTGCACCAGTTCACATTAGGGACTATCAGCATAGAGCATTTTCAGACCATTCCGTTCAGCTGTTTTTTCAAACGACTTGACGAAAAAAGTTACGGAAGAAAAAAGAAAGAAAAAAACAGACGATAATAATAGGGGCGGAAGTGCAAGTGATGTTAGAGGATGGTGATGGTGAAAATAAAAGCAAGTTTCATTGTGAAATCAATCATAATAAGGTCAAGCCCTCACAAACACATTGCGCACAACCAAAAAACTGGCCATGCAAATTCACAGTGTGATTTTATACAGCACATGTGGGGGAGCAGTTTACTCAGAAATGCACAGATACAATATATATTAGTCTGCTTGACAGTGAAAATCTGAGACAATTTCAGACTGATTAATTTTGTTCTACGAGAAGTTGCCCTTCCTGTTATCTACTTAGCCAGGACTACTTGGACATGTTCCTCACTTTTAGTTTGTTATCTTGTTTTCACAAGCCATCCAAGTATTGTATTTTCCTTATAAGAGAGGGTTCAATTGCCAGAACAGAATAAAAACTATCCAATCAGCCTAGGAAGTTGCAAGTACCTATTTGCAAATGTGCCTAAAAAATATGTCTATGCGAGTAAAAACTTTTAAATATCTGCATTTAGTTTGCAGTTTTCAGAAACTACTACTCGCATTTTGCGAGTAAAAATTGAAGCCCTGCACACAGCTGAAACATGCCGTGCACGAGTCAGACTAGATGAGATACCGTGCACGATCTTTAGGCTTTGAAAAATTTACGATGTACTCGGAAAGTCTCTGTTCAAGCGCGTGGCAAGTGTCATGCTGCAATTGAGAGCATACGTGTACAAGTCAAAATAAAGAAATAGTAACATTGTAAATATGTGATTGGCAGGGTTTTTTTTTCTAGTCAAAATACAGGCATACATTTTTTTTTAAATGAACGGCGGTTTACACTGTCAGCGGCTCTTTGATTGTCAACAAAATAATTTGTATTGGCTAACGTGACAGCGTTTTTCAGTGTCAAGTCGTGTTGGAAACATCGATAATCAAAGTCACACTGTCCCATTCTCGGCTCGAACAAGGCATGGCGAATAAGCAGATTACTAATTTCTTTCGGCCGGCTGAGCAACAAACACCGGGACATCAGATCCTACATCTTCGCATCCAGCCACAAAACAGAAGATGGCATGAGATTCAACTTTGGGCACGAATACGTGATCACAATCTCAGAAACCGAAACAAGATGGAAAAATTGTGCGATGGATCGAGCAATTCGAGTGATTGGATGTTGACACAAGTGAAGGCGGGCGCCAACACGAGGCTGGCAACAAATATCAAGTATGGTGTAAATGGTGTCAATCGACATGAGAGAAGACAGATTATGCCTCAGAACGTGATAAACTGGTCGAAAAAAAGAAAGTCTGACCAAACATAGCACCTCAATCATCAAGACACATTCATGCATGTGATAAATTCTTTGCCGGAAATAAATTCAAAGCATTCTGGAAATCAGCTGATCACAGTGTTGATAAAACTGTAGCTGAATTGAAAATCAAGTTCAACATAGCATATATGATTGCTAAACATGAAATGCCGTATTCAATGTTTCCAAAGTTACTGCTACTTCACCCTAAAAATGGAGTTGACATAAACCCAACATACGATAATACCCACAAGTGCGCTGAAATTATAGCGAATATAGCAGATGGAATGAGAAGGGAATTATCGAGCAGCATTACAAATGCCAACTACACTTCCATTCTTATCGGTGACACCGATAACGTTGCAAAGGAATGCAAAATCGTGAACGTACGATGTCGACATAAATGGGAAGGCGACAGTGAATCTGATCGGGCAAAAAGAGGTTGAACATGCACATGCAGATGGGTGTATTGAGTGCCACTAAAGCTTTGTGTGAATATGTTGGCGTAAGTTGGAACACAAAATTAATTGGCTTTTCCACCTGTGTCAGATAATGATCGTATTGCCCATAACCACAGCCCAGTGTGAACGTGGCTTTTCTGCACAAAGGCGATGCAAGAATGAACAGCGTAATAGACTGCATCCAGAAAGTGTGGGTGATCTTATACGTATCAGCCTGGAAGGGCCTAGCATGGCTGAATTTGATCCTTCAAGTTCTGTTCACAGATGGATGCATGAATCAGTGCGGGCCACACGACCAAATGTGAAACTGGTATGGCCTGATAATATCGTACATGCAGTGTTCAACCAGGATAAAAATCAAGACTTTTTGTCACAGAACAGTATCTTTTGCTCCTAAAATGCTTAGGAGCATTTTGCTCTTTGCCAAAAAGTTAACTTCCTAGGCTGCCAATGAAATTGTTTGACAGATTACCATACCAACAACACAATACTGCTTATTATGGAGTATCAGGAAAATGGAATATTCAAGTCCAAGAAACAAACAATGCTTATAAACATATTTATAAAAATTGATCATCAGCTTTCATTCAAATTTTCAATAGTGATTGGTGCAAGAACAATGTCTATGCCCTAAAATGTGCATGCATGCCTTCACTTGACTTACATGTAGCAGCTACAATTGCCCACATATTCCAAACAAGCAGCCGCTTGGCTAAGATAGCTCCGCTGTTAGCAATGCACATTTCAATTAACCCGTTTCAGGTCAGGGGAGTTTCAAGCTATCAGGTTAAGTCGGTGAAAAACGGTCATGATTCAATGCACTCCAGTAGCCAGTATCTGTGCATGCTATCCTGCCAGACAAAAATAGGCCAAAGTTAACAGACTGTATCAACCTCAGTTTTCACATTTTTTGCAATCTGTTCGCATACACACTTCATTACCACCATGGACAACAATTTCTCGTATAAAAAAAAATTCACTGT